TTTATTTTAAAAATCATATTTACCTAGGTGGATGCAGCATCAGTCTGATGGTGCATCTGTCCCCCTCCGGCTGCAAGGGTGAGAACTCAGCGATCACATGACCACTGATCGCTGAGTTCTCACAGCCGCTTTGAGCAGAGAGAAGTGTCAATTACGGCTGTATGCTCTGCCCCCCCCCCACGCTCACTGGAGAGCTGAGCTTTGAAAGGGGAAGGAAGCAGCTGGCTCAGGCTCTCAGCAGATCACTGCCAGACTCTGAGGTGGATCCTGACTTTACAGAGCTTTAGCTGTACTTCTCCTTTAATGAAGAGATTTAAAAATAATGAAACTGCGTCTTGAAATTACATGAACACTTTTAAGCAGTTTTAAAGGCATTTTTTCAAATTAAAATAATATACATAGTTACATAGTTAGTCTGGCTGAAAAAAGACAAACGTCCATCCAGTTCAACCAAAATATAAAAAAAAATGTTATAATCCTATACCCAACATTGATCCAGAGGAAGGCAAAAAACCTCAGCAAAGCATGATCCAATTTGCTCCTGCAGGGGAAAAAGATTCCTTCGTGATCCACCGAGAGGCAATTGGATATTCCCTGGATCAACTTTACCTATAAATGTTTGTATCCAGTTATATTGTGTGTATCTAGGAAAGAATCCAGGCCTCTTTTAAAGCAATCTACTGAGTTGGCCAGAACCAACTCTTGAGGGAGTCTATTCCACATTTTCACAGCTCTTACTGTGAAGAAACCTTTCTGTGTTTGGAGATTACATTTCTTTTCCTCCAGACATAAAGAGTGCCCCCTTGTCCTCTATGATGACCTAAGGGTGAATAACTCTACACCAAGTTCACTATATGGACCATCTATGTATTTATACAGGTTGATCATATCCCCCCTAATCTCTTCTCAAGAGAGAATATATTCAGTTCCTCTAATCTTTCCTCATAGCTGAGCTTCTCCATGCCTCTTATCAGTTTGGTTGCCCTTCTCTGCACTTTCTCCAGTTCCCCAATGTTGTTTTTGTGAATTGTTGCCCAAAACTGAACTGCATATTCCAGATGAGGTATTACTAATGATTTGTACAGGGTAAAATGATATCTCTCTCTCTGGAGTCTATACCTCTTTTAATACAAGAGAGGATTTTGCTCGCTTTAGAAACTGCAGTTTGGCATTGCATGCCATTATTAAGCTTATGACTACCAGAACTCCTAGATCCTTCTCCACCATTGACTCCCCCAGTTGTACTCCCCTAGTATGTATGATGCATGCATATTCTTAGCCCCCAAGTGCATAACCTTACATTTATCAACATTAGACCTCATTTGCCACATAGTTGCCCAATAAAACAGTGCGTTGCGGTCGGCTTGTAAGTTGGAGACATCCTGTAAGGACGTTATTCCACTGCACAGCTTGGTGTCATCTGCAAAGACTGAAATGGTATGTTTCATCCCAGACCCTATATCATTTATAAATATATTAAAAAGTAAGGGTCCCAACGCTGAACCTTGGGGTACACCACTGACAACCCTAGACCATTCAGAGTATGAATCATTAACCACTACTCTCTGAATACTGGTTTTTCCAAGCCTGTAGACTTTATCTTACACATTAGCGTGTGGGGGGAACTGTGGGGAACCGTGTCAAACGCTTTTGCAAAAAGTATACCACATCCACCGCCACCCTTCTGTCCAAGGTTTTTCCTCACCTCATCATAAAAAGAAATCAGATTTGTTTGACAACTTCTGTCTTTCATGAATCCATGCTGTCTGTTGCTTAAAATATTTTTTTCCAGCAAGAACTCATCTATGTGGTCTTTTATTATATTCTCCAGTATCTTTCCAACTATAGAAGTTAAACTAACAGGTCTATAATTTAGTAAAGATTTTGACCCCCTTTTTAAATATATGCACCACATTGGCCTAACGCCAGTCCAGTGGTACTATGCCAGTCATTAAAGAGTCCCTAAAAATGAGAAACAATGGCTTTGAAAAGACAGAGCACAATTCGTTAAGGACCCGTGGGTGTATGCCATCCAGTCCAGGTGCTTTATTCACCTTTATTCTGTCTAAATATTTCTGGATCATATCAGTTGTGAGCCAATGTGGATCATCTGGGGCTGTGTCAATACCATGCCCATTGTGGACAAGAGCTCCCCCATGCTCCTTTGTATACACAGAGCTGAAGAAGGTATTTAATAAATTTGCCTTCTTACTATTAATATATTTGAAGAATTTTTGGGGGTTTGTCCTTCTATCTTTTGCAATCTGTCGTTCATGTTCAATTTTTGTAGCCTTGATTTCCTTTTTTCAGATTCTGTTATAATCTTTGTAATGTTTAAGTGATCATAGCGTTCCTTCATTTTTATATTTAATAAAAGCTCTTTTATTATTATTTATAGCTTTTTTGACTTTGGCCATAAGCCACATATGTCTGATTGTTAGCCTTTTAAACTTGTTGCCCATGGGAATATATTTTGCAGTGTGTTCACATACAGTCTTTTGAAGAACTCCTATTTCTGTGTTGTGTTCATCGATACCAGTATTCCATCCCAATCTATCTTGGAGAGCAGCTCTCGCCATGGAAAATTAACTCTCTTAAAGTTGAGTGGTTTTATTTTTCCCACGTGTGCTTGTTGTTTACAGCTATCAATAAATGAAATCATGTTATGGTCACTGCTACCCAGATGTTGTTTTATATGGACATTAGTAATAAGCTGTAAACAACAAGCACACGTGGGAAAAATAAAACCACTCAACTTTAAGAGAGCTAATTTTCCATGACGAGAGCTGCTCTCCAAGACAGACTAGGATGGAATATTGGTTTAGCTGATGCGTTTCGAAGGATGTTCCTTCTTCATCAGAGCTCTAATGAAGAAGTAACATCCTTCGAAACGCGTCAACTGTTCCCTGAGTGTCCACCAATATGATGGGACTCGCGCAGGTCTTACCATTCCATAGTTCCTTTGAAAACTGACATGCTTGAAATACTTCATTGTTTGTGAGTATATTTTTGTATTCAATAAATATCTGGTCTACTGAGGTAATGCGCAAGGTTGGTGCACTTCTTTTTTGTTTTTGCTTCACAGTATTGGTCGGGCTTCCCCAGCCTTGTTTGGAGCTGCACAACCCCATATGCACAGGTGGTCGAATTTTTTCAAGTTCTGGTTCCATCTATCCACCTCCTTTGGGTCTCAGAGCGCAGGAGAGTTCGTTTCTATTTTGACCTTTCCACTTACACCAGGTCTTTAGTCGTGCATTGAGATCTCTAATCTTTCCCTGTCTTTCCTGAGTTGTGCATGGCACAGGTAATATTTCAGAGAATATCACCTTGGAGGTCCTTCCCTTAAACTTGCAGCCTAGTTCTTTAAATTGATTCTTATTGAGCCTTCACCTTCCATGTATTCTGTCATTGGTTCCAACATGGACCAAGACAGCTGGGTCCCGCCCAACCCCACCCAGTAATTTATCAACCCGGTCCACCACATGCTGAACCCTGGCATCAGGGAGACAGCAAACCATTCGGTTGAGGCGATCCTGGCAACAAATTATTCTATCAGTCCTTCTGATTATAGAATCCCCTACTACCACCAACTGTCTAGGCCTTCCTGCACTACCTTCACCACCCCTCCCAGATGATCTGCCCTCCCAGCTGTTAGAAATAGCAGAGACATCCAGGGCTGCCACCCCTGAGCTTGCCACCCCCACATCTTCACCCAACTTGGCAAATCTATTTGGGTGCTCAAACCCAGGGCTGGCCTTCCTTTTCTGTGAGCCCCTACCACTCTGTCTCGTTACAGTGACCCATCTTCCTACCTGATAATTCTGACTAGCCTTTCCACCTTCCACATCAATCCCATTAGCTACCTGCTCAGAGAGCAGAAGACCCCTTTCAAGGTTGTTGGTTCTGCCCAGTGTTGCAGCTTGCTCCTCCAGATCTCTAACGCAAGCTTCAAGAAGGTCAACCCGCTCACATCTGTCGCAGCGGTACCCATCCTGGAGCTGTTGCTCCATTGTTGCATGTATGCGGCACACTGTGCTCTGCACAAAACCTTCAACCCTGCTAGTACTCATCCCAAAAACATGTTATACTCTGCGCAATTCCCAATACAGCAGATCTTAGATTTCAGGAGGGGGAGCAGGACTGGGAGCCAGGCCTGGATCTAGGAGGGTGCTGGGGTGGGCTGTTCCCCCCAGATACTAGTTGTGCCCCCCCCCCCTCTAGATCTCTGAGAGTGCATTCACTAATGCATACAGACTTGATGGGGACAGTTGATGTAAGGGGCATTCTAATAAGGCAATTTATGTAAGGGGGACTCTAAGCCCCCTGATTTATTTACTGCACCCTCAGATCACATAGGTAGATCCGGATCTGCTGGGAGCCAGCCAGGTGTACTGCATGCAAATGTGCTGACAGAAAGCATTCTGATAAGAAGAGAGAGCAGAGTGATGACCTCATCAACCACTTGCTGCTCCTTCCTTGTTGTTTTAAAAATGTTTGCCTCCCACCTTGTCCCTAGTTTGTATCCTAGCTTGTCTTCTGATCCCTGGCTGGAGGATACATGCACTAAATAAAGGACTTTGTTTAAAAGTGTGGCTTTATTGTTTATTACAGTAAATTCCATCCTGCCCAGGATATTTACGAATATCCTCTGGTATGGGTAATTTTTCCAGTCTGCTGTGCCAGCTAGTTTTTGAGGCAGCTCCCATGTGCTTGGTGGGCCTTTGCATGATGCTTGGGGTAAGGTCTCAAGATGTGTAGAGATTTAGAGTGCCAAAATATGGTTGCCAGTCCAAATAACGTTTATCCATTAGCAGGGCTTAAAATTTCAAGTCCTGAGCTACCAGCTAGGCCTTAGAGTTACTCGCCACCAACAAACACACACAAACAGAGACACCTGTACACACACACAGACATGTACATACACACACACAGAGACACATGTACACACACACACATGTATACACACAGAGGCATGTACAGACACGCAAACACACAGATACATGTACATACACAGAAATACACACGCACAGACACATGTACATACATACACATGTACACACACAGACATGTACATACACACATAAACATGTACATACACGCACAGAGACACGTACACACACACACATACAGACACATGTATACACACACAGGCACGTACAGACACGCATACACACAGATACATGTACATACACAGAAATACACATGCACAGACACATGTACATACATACACATGTACACACACAGACATGTACATACACACACAGAGACACGTACACACACACACATACAGACACATGTATACACACACAGGCACGTAAAGACACGCATACACACAGATACATGTACATACACAGAAATACACACGCACAGACACATGTACATAAATACACAGACACATGTACATACATACTCACACACACACACATGTACATGCACACACACATGTACACACATACATGTTAAGTGCTCTCTCCTCTCCCCTGAATCCACCACTGGCTGACATAGAGGATCAATTAGGTAGGCACACACACACCCCCTATAAAAAGTTGCAGTACTTCATTTGTTGTTCACTCACAGATCTGGGTACTGCACTCTAGGGGGAGGCAGAGAGCACAGCACACTCTTTTCTTTGCTTTCCCTGCGCTCAGCTATTGAGCAGTCTGACGGCTCCCAGTGCCAATGACAGATCCGGTCTGAGCTCCGAGCCTGCTCAGCAAGACGGCCCTGGGGGACACACTCGCCCCCACCATAAGTTCTACTCGCCATTGGCAAGCAGGCGAGTGGAAATTTCAAGGCCTGCATTAGAGTACTAATGAAAAAAACAGCCAACCATCTTTTTATGATGAATCAAGTGATGATTTCACATGATAGTTATATTAAGTGATACACCCTAACTTAGCCCAGTGTCGCATCATCCATGGGTGCAATGTGTGTGCTGCACACAGGCTCCAAGGGAGGGGCCCACTGTGCCCTCAAACATTGCACAACATGAGGAGACACTGGTTCCCTGTCTTTTTTGCCAGGAAGGAACCATGCAGGCTGCACATCATAGTTAGATCTATGCCTGCTGGAGGTGGAGCCCAGTGGGAGCTGAACCCCACAGAAGTCAACCACATCTATATTACAGTGCATCCAGAAAGTATTCACAGTGCTTAACTTTTGCCACATTTTGTTATGTTACAGCCTTATTCAAAAATAGATTAAATTCATTTTTTTCCTCAACATTCTACAAACAATACCCCATAATGACAACGTGAAAAAAGTTTGTTTTGAAATCTTTGCAATGCATTAAAAAAAAAAACCACATATACATAAGTATTCACAGCCTTTGCTCAATACTTTGTTGAAGCACCTTTAGCACCAATTACAGCCTCAAGTTGTTTTGAGTATGATTCTACAAGCTTGGCACACCTATTTTTGGGCAATTTCTCCCATTCTTTTTTGCAATACCTCTCAAGCTCCATCAGGTTGGATGGGGAGTGTCGGTGCACAGCTGATCATGTGATCAGGTAAAAGGACACAGCGGCCTTTAACCACATGATCAGCTGTGTCCAATGACACAGCAGATCATCGAGTAAATACAGTTGCCAGTTATCGGCTGCACTTTCCTCATGCTGCCACAGCATGAGGAAAGTACTGCTGATAACCGGCAACTGTCACAGAGCAGATCGGCACTGATGATCAGTGCCCAACAATGTCACCCAGCAGTGCCGCCCAGCAATTGCGTTCATCAGTGCCCAGCAGTGCCGCCAGTCAGCACCGCCCATCAGTGCCTATCAGTGCCCATCATTGCTGCATATCAATGCAGCATCATCAGTGCCTCCTCATCAATGCCCAACAGTGCCGCCTCATCAGTGCAGCATATCCATGCTACCTCATCTGTGCCCATCAGTGCAGCCGCATCAACGCAGTGAAGGAGAAAAATTACCTGTTTCCAAAACTGTATAATAGAAACAAAGACAAACTTTTTTTTTTTTCAACATTTTTGCTCTTTTTTTGTTTATAGTGCAAAAAATAAAACACCCAGTGGGGATTAAATACCACTAAAAGAAAGCTCTATTTTTGTGAAAAAATGATAAAAATATAATATTGGTACAATGTTGTATGACCACGCAGTTGTCATTCAAAATGTGAGAACACTGAAAATTGTCCTGGGCACGAAGAGTGTAAAAGTGCCCAGCAGGCAAGTGGTTGAATAAACACAATTTACTCTAAAAATCTGAGGTTGCCATTTTCCCTTACAGCTTTCAAAATTTGTAAAATAACCCCAAGCCATATATGTTCTGAAAGCATATGACCTGTAGAATAAAAAAAATGTGTTATTGATTTTTTAGGCCTCGCAATAGTTACATAAATATTGATCAAATTACTATTTTCACTGAAAATATTCTAAAATTATTACTGGTGGGCACAAACTCAACATAGTTTACAAAATTCCTGCTAAATTCCTACTTAGGCCTCATTCACATGGGGTATACTAAGGATACACATGGAAAGCCATTTTTACCTTCACAGGGATGCCCAGGTGTTCCATGCATCCCTGTGCAGACAGTCCTATTCATGTCAATTGGGATGCAGCGGCTGCAGTGATGCAGCAGCTGCTCCCAACTTGACTTGTGGGTGTTTGTGCATGGCCCTGACAGCTGAACTCCGGGACATGCACATGGACCCATATGGATGTCAAATTTGGAGCAGCAACTGTGTCTGTGCAGCAGCTGCTGCATCCTAATTGATATCAATGGATCTGTCTGCATGGGGATACACGGAAAAACTTCATAGAGAGAATCGGTGCTGCTGGGTTTAGTGAGGTGGGGAGAGGAGAAGAGAATAACAAGGGAGAACTGTAGGTGACAGTGAGGGGGGGAGGTGCCACATTTTAGGTGAATAGCTCTGATCAGCAGATTGTCATCCACTGATCAGAGATATTATTTTATTCAGCTATTGTATTCAAATCTACCAATGCATTTAACACTCCCATCCCTCCCAGAATGACAATGCTGCTGTGTCCTATGCTCATTCCTGCAGAGTCTCACTAATACTGGAGGTGTCTTACTGGCCAGATCACCAGGGGAAAACGGGGGAAAAGCCTATAAGAAGAAAACTGATGCAGCCACCACATCTAATGATTGGTAAGCTGCAATATATTACATTTTTGGTTTTCTATTTAATGCTGCTTTTAAAAAAAATATATTGCATGTATATTGTTTTTTTCATATTTTGCAGGAATTGTCGAGGGCTTTTAATCTCACCATGGTGTGTTTTTAAGAATTTGCGTAAATATAAAGTGTATATTCTATATTTCAATGAGTAGTCTCATTCGTTGTATTCCATGTATTATGAATACATAGAATACAACAACCCCCCCCACACACACACGCACGCAATGTTGGGTGTTTGTTGAGCTTTAATTACGCTTTTTTGGGGTTGGGTTACATATTGGTCTTTACCAGGAGCTCCTATGTCACTTGCTACTGATCTCTGAACTCTGCCTTACTTACTACTGAACCTCAGTATTCTGCTTCACTTTTAACCACGGCCAATATTCAGCGCAATAAAAACCACACCCAATTTCTGTAGATGCACTCTCTTTTTCTTGCTCAGGAGGGCTCAGCCTATGATCCTGCTCACAGGCCCACTGATGAACAGGGTCAGTCCACACAAAACTAATACTTCCCTTACAGGTAGATACTGTAGTCATGGGCTGCTTATATCCTTTTGGGACTTGAGTCCTAAGATCTCCTTGCCATATTTCCTGGCTCTGTTCTACCTACCTTGAAGTTTTGGAAGTTACCATAATCCGTTTGGTGTTCCCACTCCTCCAGTTACATAGTACCCAATTCAAAAAATAGCACTGAAAGCTCAGTCTGTGAAGGTTCTCATCCGGGTCTTTGTATTTCTTGTAGTAGTTAGTCACATTCAACAATGTTAAAGATTTTTCTTGGCTTATCCAAGACAATCCAAGGTTTTTAAGTCTCTTCTGAAGAAGCGGCTTGGATAAGCTATGAAATGTCTTCAGTATTACAGAACATGAGCAGTTGAATGTGACTAACTGCTACTAGATACCAGAAAGCAAACTGCCTAATTTCAGATTGGATTGACATTTTCTATTACAAACACCTGGTCATCCTGCCATGGCTTGGGTCTTCTTCCAACAGGATGATAACACAGACTCCCCTGTAGTGAAATCATTGCATTGCGGTCACTCTTTTGAGCGTTGTGCTGTCACTGGCAGAAGAGAAGGGTCCACAGGATGTCACCTTTGAGAAAGCTCCTCCTAAACACCAGTCAACACTGGTTATGTCTATCTCCTCCCTATTCATAGTGACTGACAGCACAGTGCTGTTCACATCACCTGATGAAAGAAGCAATCATGTGTCCATAGGAGGTGACAATGGGTTCCCTCTTTAATCCCTCCTGCTATACAGCAGTCTTCAAAATTCTGTAGCCTGTGCAATGACATCACAGAGAATACTAAAAAGGCCTCCAGCATCCCTGGAGCAGGTAAGTAAAAAAAAAGTAAATGCAGGCAGCAAAAGGAGCAGGGGCACATTATTTAAAAAAAAAAATTACTGTAGATGGATTCCAAATTGAAAACAGAAAGTATTTACGTGTTGTCACTTTCTACATAGATTCAAAAAGAAAAAGGGGGCTAGGGTGCTACTGCATTTTGGAATAATAGTTAGAATCATGGAAATCATGCCTGCATACACCTGTGGCTAAGATTCATCCAGAACTGTAGGTTTATAGCACAGAGAGAGCTTAAAATTGCAGAGAATTTGGGAGCACCAAGATAACAAGTCAGGTTAAAGAAAAGTAGCAAATACTCTGTTCAGCACTGCCTTCTTAAAAGAAGAGGCGCTCATGTGTCATCAAATCCATTATAATTATAGGATAGTGGGTGAAGCCATGGAAACAATTTAAGATTCACCACGTGGCCAGTTCTTTGTGCCGAAATGCCTCTGAGCATCCGGATACATTATTCTGAACCCCCTGTATTGTATTGATAATAATAAGAAAAGAAGACTGTTATAAAGATGATATTATTATTTGTTATTTTATAGTACACCTCTACTGAGAAATATGACCTTATTCTGAAAATGCAAGTTGTCTGTCTTCGGTCAAAGTATTTCCTTATGTATCTCCTTGGAATAGGGAAGGTCACAGATTAAACAGAACTTCTGGATCTGCATACTTGTTCTTGGTCAGGGATTCAGAAAGTGGGACCTCAAATTATGGATAAGGATGGTATAAAGTGAGCGCTCCTAACCAAGCAGCTAGCACTAGAGGTAATCACAGTGTACCCGTAAACAGCAGAATAGTAATAACAAAGTGCAGCGCTGAGAAATTTGTGTAAAAAGCAAATAGTCCGTGGTTATTAACCACATATAAATATATATAGTCCCAAGAAAAAGCTGATGAAGACCAGGAAGCAATGGAAAGAGTGCGCACTCACCGGACGCGCATGGAAAATGCGCATGAATGAATAACTCCTGGAATCCTAGAGTAGATGGAGAGGGTGAATTCCAATATGTAGGATCAGTCAGCCTGGGAAGATATATCAGAGACCGGAGGTCCCCTTTACTGGTTGGTATGATTTTCAGCCAGACTCCAGAAGAAACAGCTCCGTCCCTCTGGTGGTGATAGGTGAGTACTACAGGGACCCTGCAAATGGATTTAGCTCCCAATGGGAACCAAAAAAAACAGGTGCCCATGTGTGTAGTATTTTTTAAAATAAGTTTATTAAATGTAACTCAAAATGACAGCAGGGTAGTAAGGCTGTGTACAGTACATGTATGAAAGCAGAGTATGCAGCAATGG